CCCCAAAACCCCAAAACCCCAAAACCCCTCAATCAATGAATTTTACTTTACTGGGAGTATTAAAGTGTTAACATTTAATTTCAGAAGTCGTATGGAATGTTATTGTTTCTAAGGTATTCTTTATAGTCTTTTCTTGTGACAACGGGTAATGGCTCGATCTGAGCAAGAATATCTGGAGCTATATTCTTAAAAGCTACTTTAGTATTTAATGCCCAACCTGATTTGTTATATTATGTCATATCAATTGCTTTTCCCTAATCAATTTTACCTTGCAAATGCATCTAATAGAGAATTTTATTCTTTAGATAACTTTTTGATTTGATTAAATCCTTCTCCACGCTTTAGTCCTTAAGATATTCCTCCCAGATTCTATTTGATGAAAGCACACCCTTTTCATGTAAGAGTTTTGATACCCATAGGCATGGTCCCCCAGTAACCAAATGCTTTCTCGAAGCTACATTAATAACTTCTACAGCAGCTTTGCTTGCACTCATTTCTATTCTGTGAATTTAATTAATTATTATAATAATAGTTTGATTAATTTTAAGTTGAAAATAAATCATAGTATCAATGGCATATTCAATCGGAAAGTCACAAAGATGTAGGTGATTAAGTAATATAATATTAATAGATGGCGATCTAAAATCTAATCAAAGCTATGCATCAGTTGGTCCTGGATCTTATGATGCGCCTATGGTTTCAAGGAAGAATGAACCAAAATGGTCGTAAGTAAATGAACGTTTCAAAATGACATTTTAGAATGGGATCAAGAACAATACTAAATCTAAATAAGACTTTTGCCCCTGGACCTTAGGCTTATGAAATACCATCAAGAGTATAACTAAAACAAATATTCATTGCTTTAATTTAATAGATGCTAGAAAAACCTGGGATATCAATGGGAATTAGAGTTAGAAATGAATTGAATTCTACACTCATCGTGCCTGGGCCGGGATAATATAGTCCAGAAGTAAAAGAGAAAAAATTCGCTTTCACGTAAAATATCTTGTGGTATCATTTAAATTAGTATGGGTGCAAGATACAAAACTTTAGATTAAAAGTTGAAAGATGGAATACCAGGCCCTGGAGAATATTAAAATGCAAATGATACGAATAAATCCATTCCAAGTATGAAGTTTGGAACAAGCAGTAGATTATCACTTGAAATAAATAAAAATATTCCTGGGCCAGGGGATTATGTTGGCAATTTTGAAAATATATCTCGAGCAGCTCCTAAATTCGGGTAAGTTACTATTCATCTGACTTTATATAGATTTGGATCGGGCTAGAGAGATGATTCTTTAGGAAAGCTAAAAAAGTTTATTCCAGGACCTGGACAGTATGAACCACCAGAAATTATAGGCAAGGAAGGGCAATCAAAATCGATGGGGATAAAGCCAACAATTGATCTATAAGAAAAAGAATTAAAGTCAAAACCTGGTCCAGGCTAATATGATCCAAATCCTGATGCAATGCTTAAAAATTCTCCTAATTTAAAGATTGGTACTGCTAAAAGAGATGACTTAGCTTTTAAAAAATAAGAATATAAACCTTCACCAAACAATTATAATCCAAATGATTCATTTTCAAGAACATAGTCAGCTGCTTGGGGATTTGGTTCATCTAACAGGCCACTAATAGCAGATAAAAGAAAATAGGAATTTCCAGGTCCTAACTAGTACGAAATTCCTTCAAGAGTTGTAGAGGGTCCTAAGTTTATTATGGGTCAGAGAACTAAAGATCCTCTTGCTGATAAAGATAATATTCCTGGACCAGGTAAATATGATACAGTTAATAAATCAACATCAAAAATTAAAAATGAGCCTTCATTTAGCATTGGCACTGGTTCAAGAGCAGATATAGCAAATTTGAAATAAAAAGGTCCAATACCAGGACCAGGTAATTATCAATCTCTAGATGAGTCATTTTTGAAAAAAACTGCGCCTGCTTACGGTTTTGGAAGCTCTAAAAGAGAAGAATCCAATGAAAAAAGCAAAACTAATATACTTGGACCTGGGGCATATGATAGTAGGTCTTTTATTGGAAATGAAGGAAGGCAGAATTCTATATCTCCTAAGCTTGATCAAGGATTTAAGCTAAGAGAAAGTAGAAATTTACCAGGACCAGGATCATATGATTAAAATTAATCAGCATAAATTTTGAAGAATTCTCCTTCATTTAAAATTGGAACAAGCAAAAGATCAGACAGTGTTATTAAAGAAAGAATGAGTAAGCCCGATCCAACTGCCTACTCACCTAATGATTCGTATACTAAATAAACAAGTGCTAAGTTTGGCTTTGGAACTGGCAAAAGAAAATCAATTGCAGATGATCATATAAAGTTGCCAGGGCCGGGATAATATGCTTTAGCATCAAAGGCCTTTGAGACACAGTCAAGATTTGCAATGGGTATCAAAGTCAAAGAATTGAGTAAATTTTCTGTACCAGGTCCAGGTGAATATGACAACAATAGCAGCATTGTTAAGAAAAATATGCCATCGTTTTCGTAAGTTAACAAAATATTATATTATCTCAAATCATATTTTAGAATTTCCGGTAAGACTTCTGAGTTAAAAAAGCTTGATGTACCAGGACCTGGAGAATACACGATAAAAGAAAAGACAATAGATGGACCAAAGTTTAGCATAGGAACAAGTTAGAGAGTGGCTCTTAAAAAGACAGAAGTTCCAGGTCCAGGAGCTTATAAACTTCCATCAACGATTGCAAATTTGCCAACTCACGCCTTACCCAATCAAAAAGAAGAATTCAAATTCGTTTGATAATAATAGTAATATCAAGTTAGGTTTTTATATTTATTGTAAATTTCACAAAAGCGTACTATATAAATATGATGGGGTTTTGGGGTTTTGGGGTTTTGGGGTTTTGGGG